ATCCTGCTATTGGGTGGCACTATATCTTCAAGACCTGAAGAAAAGCAGCACAAGCCCAATTCTTCTCAGTCATTTTCAGAATGACTATCAAGACCCACAGTGCAGCCTCAGTTTGGTAAAGGGATAAACATTTCTTACCTATTTAGTTTCTCATTTTGAGAGTGGGCACCATCATCTGCAGCTCCAACAGGAAGCAGCATGACATTCTTGCCTGTTGCTTCTTGAAAAGTAATAGTAACAGGAATGCTTCCTCCCTCCCTTGTCAGGTCTGGTTCAACTCCAAAAACTGAAATAAAGAGTAATACTCCAGTCACATGGAGATATATTTGTTTATATGCAGTCAAGTACCAAGCATGTCTTACCAGATGATAGCCTAACATTGCTCTCAGATCCAATCAGCTGGACCAGAGACCTCAAAGGTAGAATTCCCCCCAGTACAATACTGTCATCTGCAGTTCAGTGAGCAGTTCCACAAATCATATTTCATTGTGAAAGCCTGCAGCTGCATTCTAACACAGAAGTTTTTCCCTAGTTTTCCATATAGTCTAGCTCCACACAGAGGAGCCTAGGACCATAAGAAAACTTTAAGAGGGAGCTGAGGACAACTAATCTTCAAGGGCTCTGGCAAAGAAGTCATCTTCATCCAAAAGCAAAACAATGCCAGAGGACTTAGCAAATTATCACATTCCTTCCCTTGCAGTACATTGGGCTCCAGTTCAGGGTTGCATGTTATGTGCTTTATTACACAGTACCCATGGCCTCACTAAGTGAGGAAGAATGAAAGCATCCTACATATGTGACTTCCACAGCATTGAGGTGCTGGAAGGGGAAGTCTCATCTTTCCCATGCCAAGTGAAAAACCTACTGACCTGTCTTCATAGCCCTCCTCCCAGCCATGTAGTGAGGATGGTTGAAGTCTGACACCCATGGTTTTCCACCATGGCTCAGGTATACTCTGAATTTGTTAGGGCTCTGCAGCTCTGCAAACTTTTTGCTCACATAGTCTTCAACCTAAAACACAGTTTGAGCAGTCAGGTCTTCTGTTGGCATTTGTATAAGCACTAGTAAAAACAGGACACCAGAAATATTTAGAGACTAACAGGTCACTACAGGTATGCAGCAAGTTTTTGTATTTTACTAGGTAGTTTTGCTCAGATGTTGGAACCTCAAATTCACACAACTATATAGTATGCAGAAAAACAAATAGCCATTATATCAAGCTCTACTTAAGAATTATATTCCTGTGGCAATCTGAATGTCCTTTAGCTAAACATTGGCCTCCCAAGCCTTTTCCTCAAATTAGTTACTGAACTCAAGCAAGGCCACAGCAGTTTGGGGGGGTGGGGGGGAGGCAAAAATCAGTGATCCTTTCATATCTGAGCTGAGGTGTAAAGCAGGGAAGACAGTAGCTAAGAAAGAGTGAATTGCTTAGTAAGCCTTTCTCCACAAAGGAGAATTTAGAAGCACTAAGCTTAGTGACCATTAATTCATCTCAACATACATGCTTTGTGACTTCTTCAGGAATCATATTTGGCACAAGTCTGATTGAGAACTTGCCAATCACTTTCTTAGGAATCACAGTCTTGACTCCAGATCCAGAGAAAGCTCCTTCTATTCCATGAAGAGACAAAGAAGGGTATCTCCACCTATGCATAAGGATATCCTTCTGCAGAAGGAAAAACACAAGGTTATATGAAGTTTGACCAAGTTCCCAAAATCATTACTTCACTCTAAAGCCATTCTCAGGAACACAGCTTCCCTCCTATGGAGTATGCCTCCTTCAAGGCCACTCAGGTCCATTGTAAGAGGCTGTTACTTCCATTAGACACAGTTTAATGAAGCAGCTGGGTTCCTTCAGCACCATAGCAGAGATGCAGTAACTCCAGCATGGCTTTCTCCTGGTTCTGTGGAACTTGCTGACCATGGCTTGCCTGCCTTGACAGATATCTTCAGGAAGATACTCAGTGTGCAGAAACTCCACTGCTGCCTCAAACAAGCAGGCAGGTGCTTTCACTGGGGCACTCACACTAGATCAAAGTCTGCAAAAGCTTTGCAACTGTGAAGACTGTTCTTCTATTTCAGCTATTTATATAATTAATACATTAAGCATGGCTGAGCCCTAGGCTCATTAAAGCATCCACCTGTCACTAAAAGGCCACTTCAGACATGCTTGCATTTCTTTCCTTGCTACTTTGTACACAACTGCTCAGTATACCGAGCACTATGAATTCAAGCACTTAAGCTCCATGGGCAGCTACAATATCTTAGAACTGACCTTTACTGTAGGAACTAA